AAAATAAATTTCTCAGGAACTATTCAAACGATTTCGTTCGAATTTTTTATTTTGCCATGTAAAATTACATTGTTTAAAATGAAGCAAAAAATTGTATACCTTACAATTTAGAAATTTTTCGACTATTATTAAATATAATAATAAATACTTACTAAAAGTTATTTTTTGCATGGAATTATTTTTGGCTAAACGAATTTAACAATTGTATGTAAAAAATTTTCACTTCGCTTCGAAAATTCTTGAGATATAGCGAAATACGAAAAAAATAAAATTAACATTATTAGGTGTAAACTTTGGATCGCTCTCCTGGCCAAACTATGGGGACCATAGTTTCCAGATTGCGGCTACCCCTTATATTCTGGGGGTCAGAAATCCGAATCCGTCGAAAAACTTTTATGTTCATTCAGAGAAATTTCGTTTTTGTATCTGAGTTCGTAACTTAAAATATCGTTCGCATGTATTATTGAGTATATTTGATGTCAATCCCTAGAACCATTAAGATTGAGTCCTAGAACGCGAAAATCGGATCATTAGATCAAAAGTTATTTAGGGTCGTCCGTTCTTTATATTGAGCGCTGTGCAATCCTTTCCATGTTAGTTAAAATATCCGGCCAGGCTCATCATAGTCAGCGCGTCATATAGACGTTTTCACCTTTCTACGCACTCTTCTTGATAGGTGATTACGAGTTGCTCGCACGAACGCGTTTATTAGCTGGTTCATCGGTTGAAGCACTTCTAAAATCTTTATGGTTTGGTAGGTTGCCTCTCAATGCTCAATCAATTCTAGCTGCATTAAATCGGAAGCTCAGTCAATTGGCTTTTGCGTCTGGCAAACTTCATGAAACATACATCCTATTTATGAACTCAGCATTTTGCGAATCCCCATAATTAGCAATCGCGAATTCCATGAAATTAAAGACAACGGAATTAATTAAACGAATGAGTTGACATTCATTATTCTTAGGCAAAACTATGATACACAAAATCGACGCTCTAAGCATAATTTAAAAAGATCACTAAATCCAATAAATATAAGCAATTTAGATCTACAATGAGACAATGACCAATGTTTGTACCACACAAACATAGACAATGTAGTTTTCCTGCCGATAAATATAATGGCGATCGTCACATAGCCAAGCTATCGACCACCACATAAACGATTATATTGCCCGATTCTTCATCCAAAATGACTTTTCTAATCGATATGCTGACAGTTCGGTAATGGAAAATTCAGACCCTGCGGTGATTATCGCCTCAATCACAATGCTGGAGCGCTGCCCAGTTTAGGACTGCACACGAAGTCTTCACTGAAATGCAGTTTTCTCTACTCTTGATTTAGCCAGAACACTTCAAATCAAAGAGATATTTCTAAAACAGCTGTAACAACTCCTATTGGCCTATTTGAATACACTGCTATGCTATTTGGCCTCCGAAATGTGGATTAAATATTTCAACGGCATATGCATTAACTAACTTCGAATTTGGAACTTCATACTTTGATGACTTGCTAATTGCATCCTCATCGATCGAACACTTACATCAAGTGTTCACTCGATTAATAGAATATAATCCAAAGTTAACCGCTTTGCTCACCAATTAAAAAAAAAATGCAAAAAATCAACGTAATTTTCTATTTTATTAACAAATACAAGGAACTAAAACAAAACATAATACACAAGTTTTAAGCTGAAATTTTAATTTTTTAAGTGTAAAAAAAATTTTTTATTTATCATCAGTTTCTAACCCTTGTTATCTCGAGCAAATGAAAAAAGTTAAATATTAGTCTTTGAATGATAGTTTTTAAAATAAAAGACAACACTAAGTGATACTTTCCAAACGCCAGTGAAGTGGTACGAGATTTTTTTACTCTTTTTCCATGTAAATTTAGCAACCATCGTATACAATCGCACAAAACACGTGTGCAGTCCCTCAATCCAACAGGAAAACTCCCAAAACAAAACTTGGCAAACTTCCAATCACAACAGATTATCATTATTTATTTATTTTTTTGCTTCCGGCCGAGTAAAAACGTGATAAAACAAAACGTACTAACAAATTCTGCTACTCCCGAGTTTTCTCGGGATAATAAATATTTGCAATATATACATACCCGAGTTAACTCGGAATAATCAGGGAAGCAGTTAATACCAGGCAAGTGTGTGTTAAGATCCGCTGTTAAACTTCTAAGGTGTCTCATAATGGTCACTGGAGTTCGACCTACCAGATAAAGTTGAAGTTATTTGAAACTTTCAAAACCCCGAAACCATGCAAAACGTCGCCGTTTTTTGGCAATGGTTAACTTCTATCGAAGTTTCTTGCCGAATGCAGTCAAAGCAAAGATCTTCTAAAGTAAAAATAATCACCGATAGTTAAAAAAAAATGGCACACGACCAGTCTCACGGAATAAGGAGGCTGAACTTTCATTTTCACAATGTAAATCAGCATTGTGCAAATGAAAATTGAGGGTTGCAGCATATATCCAGCTGCTCTGTTCGTTGGTTGATGACTATAACACTGCTGTTGGCGATTCCGAACTTAACCCCTTGGGGACGGGTGATTCAGAAAAGCATTCGTACAAAATTAGAATCAGGATGTAATTAAATAAAAAACGGTTACTTAAATGCAGTCGTTTCTAATTTGACAGACTTACTTTGCTTATACTTTAATTATTGTTATTTTGATCATATATATAATCAATGTTAATTCAAAATATAACTAAATAGTTTTATTTTGAACTAAGTAATGGTGAATTAAATAAATCAAACAATTATAACTCCGCCCACAAATAAACTGCTAAAGAATTACTTTGATTACCAGTTTTATCTTTTTACCCTGATTGATACAGTTTTATACTGGCACGTATTTGTGACAGTCGGCGCGAAAGGGTTAAAGGTTTGCAACGGTCTCAAACCTTTATCATTCTTCACGCAAAAACTGAGTGCAACAAAATTTAAATAAGGCACATATGAGGAATTTAAGCAATTCATATTTCAATTAAACATTTTAGATAACAGATGGAAGGTTAAAATTTCACTATTTTTTAGATTATCGCTCCAACATATGCTTTCACTAAAAATTCAGAATCTTGTTCTCCACGACAACTAAGACACCAACACTTTGTTACACAATTTTCAAGTGACATCAGTGACTTTGGTTCCAACAACGTGGTGGCTGACAGAATGACCAGGAGTTGCAAAATCTGCAGCAGAAACCTGAATACTCCTTGCAATTCAAATCTATTTCCATAGCCTCAGACATGCATATCTGATGTAACATTGACAATAATAGAGTTAGACCAGTTGTTCCTGTAGCACAGTGTTTCCCAAAGTGTGGTACGCGTACCCCAAGGGGTACGGGAACAGTTTAGCGAGGGTACGCGTCCTTATGCGAAATATCTTGCAATAAACGAAAATTTCGAACAAACTTATTTAAAAACAAAGCTAGCCATGAAAATTTACGATTACGTATTTTTCTATTTGCTATTTTTTTGCGGAGTTAGCAGTTAATAATTAGTGGTGTCAACAACCAGTTGTGATGTTTAACTTTTGTGCAATTTTTTTATAGTAAAAAATACACTCATTTTTTTATTAATGGTACACAGCGTTACGAAAAATTTAGAAAGGGTACACAAAAGTCATAAGTTTGGGAAACACTGCTGTAGCATATTAGTTAATATTCCACAAACTGGTATCCGTGCCACCAAAAAAGTTCATCCTTGGCCGTTATGTGTGGCCTTTAGTTTTTAAGGATATCGTTGTTTGGATTGCCGAGAGTCTAAGGTTTCGAAGCATACTCGGAGTCCTATTCAACAGTTAGTATCACCATCATCCAGATTTGACCACGTTGATCTCGCCGGACCATTGTTACCATTTGAAGGTAATTCCTATCTTCTCAAATGCATAGACACTTTCAGCAGTTGGCCTGATGTCATACAGACATGGCATGAGTGCTTGTCTCTTAATGGATATCACGTGATAACAACTGATTAAGGAAGACCATTTCAGTCTGTTATGTATTCTTGCTTGACGAAATAGCCACATTGGGAACAAGGGGATGGTTCCCTTATAAGCAATTCTTAAAGTGCCAACTGGGATACTACAATTGGTCCTTTCGGGTCTACGTTCAGCATTTAAGGAGGACCTAGAAGGCACCACTAAATTTGCGTATGGCATATACCCCACAATCATCGTCAATCTCTAATACTGAGTTAATAGCGGCATATTTTGAATATCTTAGATACGCCATCCAATGCCTCTTATCAACTCGTGCGTCTTATCTTAATAAGCCTGGAACTTTCATTCATACATCCTTATCTACCTGTTTGCATACGTCACTAACGTTGGGGTCAAGAAACTACTGCCAACACCAAACGCCGGTCCTTTTTAAGCAGCTGAACGGATTGCTATGCTCTTTACTGTATTAGTGAACCAGCAACCAACCACCATCAGCTTTGACCCTTTTAAGCAAAGTTTTACCCTTTCATGTGACAGTTCCCTTTCTTCCTCTAATGTCGTTAAAATCTTATTCACCCCCATCTATTAGTGTGCTCAAACACTGCACCTGACAACATTCTGGATAATCACTGTGATGTTGCTGCATCACACTTCCGTCAAAATTTCTAGTTTAACTTTATCAACTTAGTTTAATAAATTTTGGACAGAAATGTAGACTTTCTTGTACAAGACAACTTAGTTTCTGAGTTTATTTTAACCCTTAAATTGATTTCCTGACATCGGTACTTTTTAGTTTAACTGCGATCGAGAGAAGGTAATCCGACTCTCGCGTGTCTTCTTGGCGTCAGTTGATGAATATACTTTACCGGAGTAGGTCACTACGTGTTTTCTGAATATTTTTTTTTTAATTTGTGGCTTCAGCTTTCCCACTGTGTGTCTGAATTTTTAATAAATTTTTCTCATCTTTTTTCCGAAGTTTGAAACATAGACTTAACCGTGAAAGACGTCATCCATTTTTAAAGTAATGAAACAGTGCTTTTCTTGATAAAAAATGATTCTTTTAATGCGTAAAAATGAATACATAATTATTTTAACATATTTAAAAATTAAATAACAAATAATGTAAAGATTATGCCAATAAAAACATATAAACAGAAATATAGTGATACACTGGTACTATAAAAAAACAACAACCTCGAAGTGTATATATTTGATGCATACCTGAAGATTTAAATGCATTTTCAATTGCTTAGCCCTAAGTTTAGCAATGTTTATGTAATGTTATTGACTATATCACAGTTTGGTACGATTAAGTTGTAATTTCGTTAATTACGTTTAATTTTGAATATTCAGGAGAATGTCTTGTTAATTTTAAAAATTCATTTTACATTTTTTAAGAAATACATGCATGCCAAATTACCTCTCTGGAAGACGTAAGATCAGAGGTTTCGCAATAAACTTAGAAGAAAAAATAAACTGTGCAACATAAAAATGCTTTTGAACATAACAAGAAAACATATGCTTTTACAACCATTGCAGTCACATCATTTGGCACTATAATCATGATACAAGTAGCTGTGCATCAATTTATGCACTTGGCGCAAACTCATTATCAGGTACAGTATAAATTTTTCATTCTTTGCAGTTCCAGACTACAAAATGAAGTCTTTTGTTGGATGCTAAATCTTCAAAACTAAGATTACAATTCTATTAAAGTCTTGATTAATTCGCTTTAAATCTATGTATAAATTTGAAATCCTACATACGAGTTTGCTTAACCTACACCTTTTTACAGATTACAATTAATCAATTTGTTTTAAATCGAATACATTACAAATCCATTCGGCACGTACCTTTAATATTAAGTGTTAAAACATTACAAGTGAAATGACTAGAAAGATCAAATTTGATTTTTTTTTCAGTCCTCTCATCAGAAGAGATCATGTCCACGGTAAAAAGTTAACATGCAGAAAAGTCCCAACTAGTAAGTAAGACAAGAAGTAACAGTATATCAATCTGCCCCAAATAGAAGATTTAATAAAAAGATTTTTCATGAATTGTAGGTCTCCCGCGAGTCCGGGTCGAATCAAATGTTCTTTGAGAAATTTAAATCTAGCTCTTTCATCACTTGGTAGGAGTGTCATGGCTGCAATCCAATACAAAACTGGGCTGGATGAACACAACATTCTAGTTGAAACCTTAAAATGAAAAGCAAAGATTACTATCCAAAAAGTAAATCCAATAATTTTTATACAAGCAATTCCTAACATACTTTCTGTACGTTTTTCTCTTATGCAAATCTGAGTAATGGAGTTAAAAATATATTGAATTAAATCCATAATAATTTTTAAAAAAATCTAGATAACTCGCTCGTTAGTTAACTGAGCGAGAAAGCGAGAGTGTGCCACTATGGGCAAAAGAAAGGACAACCTTGGGCTCGTTGCACGACAACGCTGTCTTACTGTATCGTTGCAATGGTGTTAAGCGGTTATGCTTAACACCATTTCTTTTATGCATTCATTATTACTCTTACAATTGAAACGGTTTCTTAAAGGTGCTCTGCTCGGACTATCTAAAAAAAAAAGTGCACCATTATGCGTGTAAAGAAACTTACATTGTAAAATTCACGAAAATTACTAGTCTAATATTCATATAGTGTGTTTCACAAATTTTTAGGGAGGTAAAGGCACATTATAAAGATTGAGCATACACAGTTCGTGTGAGAGAAGCCACTTAAATTATTCTTTTTAAATGTCAACATTTGCATCCAGGAAAGAGGTTCAACCGGTTGTTACCAGGGCCGGATTTAAGCTTGGCGGGGCCCTAAGCTACTGAAAATGATGGGGCCCTTTTAAGTTCAATTCTATTTCTATACACCTAAAGTAAACTGTCGTATTTTTTATTGATGAATATTAACATTATATTATTAAAAATTTGATAATATTGCTTGATTGTTAAATATATTGGTTGTGATGGGACTATAATGTAGACCCTTTCTATTATTGCACATATTTTTTGAACGAGAAAAAAAACAGAAACTCATTTTAAGAACATCATAAGCACATTTTAAGAACAGAGTAAAGATTTGACATGCTAGAAGAACCATTATATGTTTAACAGGGTTTTTTTCCCTTGAAATTCTGAATATATGTTATTTGGAATTTTAAATGATTTTTTTTTTTTTTTTTTTTTTTTTTTTTTTTTTTTTTTTTTTTTTTTTTTTTTTTTTTTTTTTTTTTTTTTTTTTTTTTTTTTTTTTTTTTTTTTT